TTTTCTTGGGAATTGGTTTTCCACACGGGCTTCACACGGCTATTATAAGAAAAAAATTTATTTTAATGGACAATTTTCATTTAAAACAAAGCCGAACAAACACTAAATTTTGATTAAAAAAATGATTTTTTAGGAACCCTTTTTTTTCGTTTTTTATATTTTGATAATGGAAACAAATTTTATAACCAATTAATGAAAAAATTATCACTTTAATGGACAATTTTCATGTAAAACAAAGTCAAACAAACACAAAATTTAAATTTTTTTTGGTGGAAAATTATAATAATCAAACACACTTAATTAACAATTCTCTGCAAAATATTTTTTAGACAATTTTTTTTTCTGAAATTCATTTTCTTTCCACCTATTTTTCACAATTTCAATCAAACGGACCCTAAAAGTTGAGATGTGCCCATTTAATTTCACTTTNNNNAGATGTGCCCATTTAATTTCACTTTTGAGATTGCTTAATACTTCTTGTGTCATCCTTGCATTAAATTGACTAGATATTCTCATGCGTACTTTTTTGCATTTCACCAACCACAAGTTGGACCTTCTCACATGAGAGAAATACTTGTGTCGTAAAATATCAAGTTCACATAGATTAATACCTTACATTAAAAAAGTGGACATTAATTTCACACGGATAAATCGATGCCCGTCTGCAAAGTTTAAATTATAATTTAAGCTGATTAATCCAATTTTTTTTATATTTTGTAAGACTGACAATTATTATGTAATTTTTATTCACGTAGTCTGCAAAATTCACAATTTATAATCACTTAAAAGTTGTAAATATTAAAAAATGTGGACGTTAGTGGGGGTGGGAGAGAGTTGAGGTAGGTAAGTGGGACCATTTGCTACCTATTTTCAAATTTCACAAGTCATTCTACAATTTATTAAAATGTTAAAAGGCCGTCTATTGTTTGATTGGAAGTAGTAAAGCGGTGGAAAGAAATGTATACCAAACACATTAATTTATTTGTAGTCTAAGCCACAACATGACACTAACAATAATAAATAAGGGTCCACGAGTTTCTCGCGATTTTTAAAATTAACATATGTCATATTTTCATAATGAAAGTGTAAGTTCCGAAATTGTCTTTATATCTTGACCCTCCATTTAGACGATTTTAGTACTTCTTTTGGTACAAAACGAATATGGTACTTGCATCCAAATTATGCGAAGTTTATTGGGAAAAATAAATAAGCAATAAATAAAAACAAAAGTGTTTTATTTACCAATCCTCCAACTCCCTAAACTCCATCAATGTCATGTGCTTGTTTGGATAAAATTATAAGTTACTTAAATTATATAAACGAGTGATAGATAAGTGAGTAATAATAGTTGATCTTATGAAACATGTGATTAAAACAAGGGCTGTAAATGGATCAAATCTGTTTATATCCAATTCGATAAGAATAATTATCAGATCCAATCCGATAATCCACCGGATATTTGATTGTTAAATCGATATCCGTTTTACTATGTTATCGGATATCCGATTCGAAATTAAAGATATTAGGAAAAAAATAATGTTGGAATCAACTTTTTTTTTTTTTAATTTATTCTTTTTCTAATTTTTCCTATTCTTAAATATGTTTAATAATTATAAATTTTTCAATTTTTTTATATTTTGAATTTGATGACTTTTTTATTTTAAATTTATTTATTTATTTTAGTCACAAATAACATGTCATAAAAAATATTTTACCGACTCACTTATTTATAACAAATCGGATCGGATTGACCTATATTCATATTTGATCCATATTATCGGATTCGGATCTTGATCGAGTTATCGGACTAAGATCCCGAATCCATCTCCAATTAATTTCATCGAATTCAGATCAAAATCCAATCCATTGACAACCCTAATTAAAACTATAAGAAAATCATAATGTTTCTCAAACATTCAGATGCGCAATCGCGTCCATGCAGTTTTGACATATCGGCATATCATTCCTTCTTATTAAATAGGAGTTTACATACTTTGATTTACTAAGTGTATAAGACTATAAGTTGAGGTGTTAAAAACGTATTAAAGAACGGTTGAAGAGACAACAAGTTCGGAACAACATTTCTCACCCCTTGAACGCCCGACAACCCCAATAGATAATGTACTAGCATATGCCAACAAACTAATTCAGCAAGAAAACGACATTCCAATGATTCACCTCGCGGTCCCGATGAAGATCCTTGATTGTATACGAACTTTGGGAAATTTTTCGATTGCAAAACGAGTTCAGGTACGTACGCAAGATTAGACAATCGGTTAGGCTAGAATATTCTTTTTGGTCCTTTTACTTTGTATATAGCTTTAAATGCTCATTTTGTATAACTCATTAAGTGAATTGATGAATGCAATGTGATTTATACTCATCCTTAATTTTCTAGTATTTTTCATCTCACCGATTCATTAAAGTTTACGATTTCTTTATCATAAATGCAAAAAATGAATAATTTGTTTCATTAAGGATTTTTCAGCCAAAGTAGGAGGTCAATAGCCTGAGCTTCTTCGACTAAAGGTTCAGGAAGTGCGGCTTCAATTATATTCCCTCTCAAATATTCAATAGTTTCAAGAATAGAGTAAGTTTCCCCGACATCGTCAACTCCCCGCATAGAAAAGAACTCAACGTCAACCATCATGTCCATTTTTAATTATGGAAAACGGTTCGTTTCGATTCCATATCATACTTAAAATTTTCAATATTCTCATAATTCCAACTACTATTTTCAATTTCCTAATGTTTGAAACATCACAACGATCTAATAAATGATAAGTTCCATCTTATTATAACATGACAAATATAGTCCAAATTGAAAAACACAAATAAGTTGTCTAATAAAATCTTTCACCAACATATATGAATGTTCTAAAAGTAAATAATAACATTAAAAACATAAACAAATTTCCTTTTGATCACATTAATTCCTTGGCTTCAAGCCATCAAATCGACACGAAAAAAATAAAATATGAAATACAAGTTAAAATTAATAGAATTAAAATATTTTTTATGGTATTAAGAGTGCTTAACAACCAATTATCAACTATTTTTCGGGAGGTTTAGTACTCAGTCTAGAATCAAGATTTCTAATACCCGTTATCCAGTTTAATTTAAGAAGAACAAAATCGAACCACTTGATTTGATTTGATAATTTTGTTCACCCCAACTAATATGTGAAAGAAAAAGTGATCAAAGAGCGAACACGTTGTTTGACCATTGATAAGCAAATTATACACGGTAGCCAAACATGGAGTAAGAATGTGGGGGCTAAAAATGAATTTACAAGAGATAAAAACTTGTCAAATTTGATATATTATTATAATTAATAAAACAAAAGTGTAATCAATGACAATCAGATAAATTCCTCCAAGGGTCCCAAACTTTTATAAATAATGCGATCATGTCCTCAATCTTTATTTTGTGATGCTCATGTCTCCATCCTTTTGAGACTACGTGCAATCACCTAATGGAAAAAGTCTATTTAGTTATTAAACAACCATGCGACATGCACATGATGCCTGGTTGAAGGGTAAATATAAAAAAAAAGCAATATTTTAAGGCGATTTAAATAGTCGCCATTTGATTTTTGGAATTAAATTTTTTTTAAGACAATTTTAACCTTCTAGTTGTGTGGTCGTATGGACATTTAGGCCATGTTTGATGGACCATTTTTCCTAGAAAAAAGGAAATCAATTTCCAACTTTGCCAAAATGTAATGTTTAATTGGTCAAATTTGGCCAAAAAATTTTTTTCCCACCCCCGCACCCATTTTCCTTGGATTTAGG